ATTAAATATAAAAATGAACTATTTTCAAAGAAAATAATATGTAAAAACTTTCTTGAGATCTTAAAGACTCGCTATTTCTTCAGATTTTAAATACAGTCGGGCCCCTATAACACTGTTGATAATTCCGTTTTATATGAATTCCATGTTGTACGAATCACTTAGGTTTTACAAATACGTGTGCCTGTCTGTGAACGGCTCACGTATTTGTAAAACCTAAGTGACTCGTACAACATGGAATTCATATAAAACGGAATTATCAACAGTGTTATAGGGGAGTCGACTGTAATAGAAGTTTTCATTCTTTTCAAGAAACTTCCATCACATTCAATGAATATTATTGGATTTATTAAAATTTTTTTATAGAATAAAACCTCTCAAATTGCATACCTTTATATTCTAAACACCCCCACTAAATTGTGTCATTTTAATTGGAACAGGCCAACATCTACAGTATAACGAGAAACAATAAATTTTAATGCTTTAAATGTCATTTATGCTTTCGTGTGGCAATAAAAGATGATAGAATCTTTTAAGAAGATCATATATTTTTCATTAATACGTAATTAAAGCAACTTCTGTAAGTAATTTTATATATTTTTATAGTTTTCCTCCTGTCGTATTTGAAACATCTTTCTAAATTGGACATATTTTCTGGAAACACTAGTTTCCAATCTAAGAAATTTTACTGTATTAAATTGCAGTAAAATCATCCCCTCTTTCGGGTAAATCAAGCTTTAAAAATCCATAATAATCTGTTATTTTTCATAACTGATTGTAATGGTTCCTTCATTTATTTATTTCATTTTTAGTAAGTTTCTCATTTATTTACAACTAGCTGTTACCCGCGACTTCGTCAGCGGAGGTTTTGCAAGCAAACCCCATTTACATCCAATATTTCAATAACCATAGTAATTGTTATATAACACCTACCGCTGAAGAGAATTGCCGAAAATCAAACGAACTATTTTCAATTTGATCAATTTTCTGAAACGTTTACAATCGTTCTATAATCGAACCAATACGCAATAACAAATTCGAATTTAAAAC